ATTCATTGTTGGGATCTTGTACCTCTACATGACAAGTCTTGATTCTCATTTTTTCCCCTTACCTCTGCCCTCCCTTCACCCCCTTCTCCCCTCCCCATCTACAAACACTTTATTTTCATCTTTTCATTCTCTCACATTTTTTTCTTTTCCCTTTTTACTCTTCCCCTACCCATCCCATCTTACCTACACCTTTAGCTCCTTTCCAATTGAATTTAAAGGTTGTAAACAAACATATCCAGCTAGAACTTGATAAGGTCCTAAGTACATGGCTTAGATACAACAAGGTAACAGCTATTCCTGCCTTTCTTACCACAGAGAGACTAAAGACTTAAAGAGAGTTATCAGGTCCCTACTGTAAACTGACATTTAAATCTGAACTATCATGATTATCTTGCTTATACTCCTGTATGCCAAGAGAAACAGTGCAAGTCCTTGCAAAACTTCAGTTTGCACTTAGGCAAGAGACTATTTAAAACCTGTAACATGGTCTAGCACTTACAAAGATTTAAAGAATAGATTCGGGGCCAGGGATTTAGCTTAGTGGTTCTGCTGCCTGCCTTGCAAGCAAAAATCCTGAAATCGATCCCCGATGCCAAAAATAAATACATAAATAAAATAAAGAACAGACTCTTATTTAATTGTCTTTTCCTGAATGTTGGAAAATTCCCACCAAATATCCCCAGAGCAAACATATCCCTCTTACAAATATAAGTCAAGTCACCTTTCTGGTCAACCTGTATCCAGTATGGGGGAATAATCAAAGTGGTGAACTCATTCCTGCTCACCCTGTCCTCTCCTCAGCCCCCATTCCTTGTGGTCTGAGGGGCCATTCTGCTGGGTGGAATTGCTAAATTTGTTTCATAGGAAGCCCAGTTCGGAAGCCTACTCTGATCTGGACTCCCTTGGGGCAAGCTGGAAGTTTTAGGATCACCAGAGCAAACTCATCTAAAGGAGGAAGATCCTTCTGGTTGAAAAACAACCTCAAGGCAAAGACATCTGTAGATTTCTAAGACTACCTTTGGCCTCAGTTCTAACTCCTGGAATTTTTTTCTTGAAAAAAATTTTCATCTGGGCAATTTTAAACAAAAAAGTAGAGATACTAATACAATGAAACACTGCTTACCCTCCCCTAGCTTTAGCAATTTTAACTAGGTCTACGTATGTGGTATTTGGATGGTATATTTCCTAAGTCCCTTCTTTATACATTTCTTGAGGCTCCACAGCTATCTGAAAGAGGAGTTAATTCCCAAAGAATCAGAAAGGGAAAATGGGAAGCTTTGAAGCAATTGTTTTCATCATCCTAGGAAATATACAAGTATATCAATGAAGAGAGCGAGGGAGAGAGAAAGAGGGAGAGGGAGAGGGAGAGAGATTATTGAGGTTATTCTTTTATCTACTGACCCAACAGACCTTGGGGCCAACTCCACCTATCTGAGGTTCCATTATGTGAGCCCTCGAGTACCCTCTATCTTCCCTTTTGCCTAAATGGTTTTTAGTTGGATTGTGTTGCTTGTATCAAAAACTCCTTGGCAAACTCTTTCACGATGCAGAGTTATAGGGGCATCTTTCTTAGGGACCAACACAAACGATGCCTTTTCAGAATCAGGGTGAATCAGAGAGAGAACTCACTTGGTAAGACGCTTGGTTTTACTTTGGCCTCTTGAGAACTCAGTCATGATTTGGATATAATAGCTCACCTCTCACAACTTCTCTCACTGGGGACTAAAGCAATGATAATATAAAGTAATCTCTTTATGGTGTCATAAAAAAAAATCAGCTTTTGTCGTCCTTTCAGAGCAGAAAGAGAAATTTACGTCTCTTCTATAGGACTTTTTAAAGGGGAAACTAGAAGTTGTGAGTGTAAATGCACTTTCTGTGAGAATAACTTCAAAATATTAAAGGCTGGCGGAAAGACTACCAAACATTGTAAACACACTAATTTACAAGCAACTGGCACACTAATTACAAAGCACTCCTGTCTAGTCAATAAAAGGAGGCCCACTGGGGTCTCTACTAAATTCTAACTTTCAGTCCCACTGAGTTTCTTTCTGCATTGTTCCAAAGATCATAAAACAAAGTTCTTTCAAAAACAATTTGCTTCATTCTTTTAATCACTTCAGACTGTACATCCTCCCATTAAATCCACCAGGGCAACTCTGAGGAGCAAATGTTTTAGTGGTCCTGCTCTCATCCTTTAATTCTCTTCTCTCTCATGGTGTCCATGCTACCTGCCTTTCTTACACGTTAGCATCTCCATCATGGAAATGGAAATGGGAAGAAAAGGGAGACATAAAGGTCAAATTTAATATTAAACACAACTCTGGAGAAGAGTTTTAATGTTGTGAGATGTAACAGAAATGGGATATGTGATTTCTAAAATGTCACCTTAGGATTTCACTTATGTATGCCAATATACTAGGCAGTCATAAGTAGGTGAAGAAGCAAACATGACATTTACAGGTAATGGGTTAGGATCCCTGTTTTATAATTCAATTTCCTTGCTGAATCTTGAACAAGCTGTCTACCCTCTCTGATACTTTCTAATCTGAAGAACAGAGACATTATTTCTATTGAATATATTTACTTACTTTTAAAAATTGACGATTATGTATATTTATGGGAGATAAGTGCTATTTTGGTGGGTTTTTTTGGGTACCGGAGATCAAACTCAGGACTTTGTGCTTGTGAAGCAGGCGGCAGCACCACTGAGCTAAATTCCTGGCCCTGTAAGTGCTATTTTGATTTATATAAGTCCTCCAGTCTAATAAAACTTTTTATCCTGTGATCAATATCTCTCTCCCCCCACCTTCCATGACTTTGGTAACTACTTTTTCCTATTTCTATGAAATACTTTTTTTTTAGATTCCACATAGAAGTGAGATATTCATTTTGAATTTAATTCTTTTGACATAGGGTCTCCAGGCTCAGCTGGTCCTCTTGGCCTCCTGGGTGGCTGGGACTACTGATGCTTGCCATTGTACCTGCCTTAATTTGTTTTTAATGTGCTTCATTCAGAAGATTTGAAGCTGTGACAAAAGTGTGACTAAAATAAGAAGATGAGAAAACCAATGTGGTTGGAAGATAAGGATAAGCCAACAAAAAAGTGGAGTAACTTCAGAGCACCAGTAAGTCATGTTTGAGAGGTGAGCAAAAATGTGACACTTGGTAAGGAAACCAGGAGAGTCGATGACAAGATGTGTACAGTCCGCAAGCCTATGGCTGTGTCAGTGGAAGCACAATTGTCTGAGGGCTTCGGGACACTTTTCCCTTAGCTCCTTTTGAGGCAGGCTGCTGGGTGACGAGCAAGCCAATGTCATGCATAGTATTCCCACAGTGCACATGACAGCTCATGACTGCTGTTTCCTCGACTGTCCTCTTTGCTGAGCAGTGGTGAACACATCCAAGGGCAAGTCACTTGCAAATGCAATTCCCAAGGGTGGGGGGAAAGATGGGGGTGAAAATCAGGCTCCTGAACTGTCCTGATTAATATGAGGACCAAATCTCAAATATTTAGAGCAACAGAGATATGGCCTATATTTATGCAAAATTTTTTTTTTTTTTTTTTTTTTTTTTTTTTTTTTTGGTAACTGGACCTTTAATAAAATTTCTGGAGTAGAGCTAGAGCAGTGATCTGTTCTGGCAAGACCCAGAAGGGTTTTAACTGCAAAAGGGAAGGCTTAGAGCCTTACATGAAGTATGAGGACCCTAAAGAGACACAGGACTTAGACAGTGGTCATTCCTCATCCTATCCAAAGTGCCCCAGCAAGTGACCCTAGGTAGAATCTAAATCATCAAATTGTTCTAGGTCTTTTTCAAAAGAAGGGGGGGAAGGAGGGAGAGAGAGAGAAAGACAAAAAGAAAAAGAAAAAGAAAAGAAAGAAAGGGAGAGAGAGAGGTTAGGAGGGAGGGATGGAAAAAGGGAGAGAGAGGGACAGAAAGAAAAAGGAAGGAAGGAAGGAACGGAGGAAGGGAGGGGACAAGGAAGACCCCAAAGTTCCACACACTGGGTGGGAGATGGCTGTGATTATACTAGCCTAGAATATTTTCAAAGCAGCTCTCTCCAGTTACACTTCCGGTCCATATGGACAATCTTAATCAAACACTACAGAACATCAAGGTTTAAGTAATACATGTTTCCACAGATCAGCTGCAAAATGTACCCTCCAATGAATGGGTGGCTTGACTCTTTTTTTTTTTGGTACCAGATATTGAACTCGGGTCCTCGCGCTTGCAAGGCAGGCCACCGAACCACTGAGCTTAAGCCCCAGCCCCGGCTTGACTCTTTATAGACAAATCAGCAGTAAATTTCCATAAAATTTCATTTTCAAAGCTCTACAAAGTGGACATAATATTCTACAACTTCTCTATGTTATACATTTATGACATCTAATCACCTAATAAAAGTGGCTAGACTAATAAATCATACATTTTACCCACACTGAATGCCATCAATAATTGATATTAACACTTTAATTATAGTTGCTTTTATGTGTCTTAGAATTTATAAGAGTTTGGCAAAATGAGTTTAATTTTTCAAGTTTCTTTAAAAGGATCTCAAACTTTATTATATAAAGACCCTCGAATAGTTTGAGGATCAAATGAGTTAAGGAATTAATCTCTGTAATCATGTTTTACAAAGTGCTATGAAAAATCCTAGTTCTTATGCTTATGAGAATCTTACCTGTACGGTATTCAGCAATTGGTTCTGCTATGACATGTTTGTCTCTGGGACAGAATACAGCCCCAGGAATCACGTATGAAGAATCCTGACGTGAAACACTGTGCTACAGTGATAATGAGCAACAGAACCTTTCTCAGGATCTTCTGGGTCTTCCCTGAAACTCCATTTTCGAGTGCGGCACTCACCTTGTCCACTGATGGGTACAGGGCAAAGAGCTCAGCCTGCCGATTGGTCCTCCGGGCTTCTTCATTCTGCTTCTCAAAGTCCTCGGAGCTCACGCTTTGCAGCAGGTTTTCGAGCCGTTGGTCGGGCGGCAGGCTGCGGAGGTTGAATTCAAAAGCAGTGAAGGGGCCTTTCCCAGACACGTCGCACAGCACGTTTAAGCGGCAGGGGCCTGTCTGTGAGAGAAGGCAGTGGGCCTTTGTGAGAGAGAGCACACACGGATGAGAATTAAAGACTGTGGCGTTTCAAGACGTCTACTCCAACTTGGATCCAGAGGGGCTCAGGCCTCAAGAAGTTTTCTGTGTAAACAGGGGCTTTGCTAATCATGGTGGCAGGTAGTCACTCATCAGATGCGGACAAACCAGTCCTGAGAAAGGGTTTGAGCACTGTGCTTCTATTAGTTGGTGGCTTGTTCTTTCCTGCAGAGTGGGAGCTCAGTCTCTCAGGAACACACTTACATTTCATGCTCAAACCTGAGGTGGGATAAAGGGTAATAAAAAGAAAATGGACAGGGGGGCCGGGGATTTAGCCCAGTGGTTCCAGCGCCTGCCTTGCAAGGTAAGGTCCTGAGTTCCTCACCGGTACCAAAAAAAAAAAAAAAAAAAAAAAAAAAAAAAAGGAAAAAAAAAAGAAAATGGACTGGGAAACAGCCTGTGTCCCAGTCTCGAGGACTCCAGAATCTGGTTTTTGAAATGGTAACATAAGATGATCTCTGAGGAGCCTTTCAGATTAAACTACCTAAAGCTGAATGTCATGTTTCCAGAGACAAAGAATTTGCAGGATCTACTTGTAGCTTCAGGGAGCGTGAAAGAAAGAGTCTTAAACCAGTCACAAAGTGGACATGTCTTGGTAATTGGGAACCACATGGCTAACAAAAGGTTGGTAAAGAACAGATTCAGTGTAGCTGGGACATGGGGCATGCTTAGAGCCCTGCTACTTGCAGATCTGGGGAAGGAAGATGGTTTGAGACCAGGCTGGGCAACACAGTTAGACCTTGTCTCAAACAAACAAAAAAAAAAGATCGGTAATCAATAGAATGTCACAAAACTATACAGTTTGATAATGAGGAATATCTACACAATTTATAGTGAATATTATTCTCAAAATTCTAGAAAATGGATGCACTACTCTATAATTTCTCTACATCAAACATTTTTGGTGATAACCATCTACCTCATAAAAGTGCTACTTTAGAAAATATTAAATTTTGTCTACTCTGTATGCGCCAGCAACAGTCAATATTAACATTTAAATTATTATTGCTTTTATTTGTCTTGGGATTAATAAAGTTTGGGAAAATGAGTTTAATTTCCTAAGTTTCTTTATAAGAATGTCCAGCTATGTATCTGGCAACAGTCTTAAAGATGTTTAAATCATTTAATTTAGAAATTTCATTTCCAAGCATTTATTTTGAGGGTCAACTTACACAAATGTGCAGCGATGTGAAGATGGCAGCATCTCTGAAAGAGTGTTTATAAGAATATTATGCAGGCATGAAAAAGGACACGTGTGCATTTGCTAGACATTAAAGATAATCATAGTAGAGTCATGTCCATATAATAATATTTTGGTAAACAAAGGACCACAAATACAATAGTCGTCCCATAAAATTATAAAATTATATCACCTGGTGATGCTGCAGCCACCTTAGGTTGTTGGAGGTACACTATTTGATGTCTGCACAATGGTGCATCTCTCAGAATGTATCTCTGTTGTGAAGTGATGCATATCTTTATATTAATATGAAAAAGGAAGTTGCATAGCATAATGTATAAAATCTAATTTTGCTGAACTAAATGTGTATCGCAGAATCATGTATTTAACATAATTAAATTCAGGTGTTTGGCTTTATTGTTCTACTCAATAAGATGGGGAAGCAGAATGAAAGTGAAATGGAAAATATACCTAGTTGCCCTGTTGTCTGAGCATCTCTGCATAATGAATATTGTCCTAATTCTCTACTGAAAACCACATCTTTTGTATTGCCTGGCTTTTAACCATGCAAGTGACCAACTTTAGTGCTCTGTTTATAAGCTGACCTCACCTCACCCACTGTCTCTCAGCTGCAAACTCACTCTTTTGTGCTCTCCTCTGTGACACTGGGTCTGGGACTCAGAAAATCCCTTTTCTGCTTTGCTTGCTGCTCCTTTTAGGTTCTGCCAACCACATTAGATGGCTGGAGGAGGGACAAGGACCTGGCTCTTTCCCTTGTTTGCAGTTTCTCTCACCTTGATAGTGACAGTTGGTTCTAGGCGTCAGCTTCTTTTGGTGCTTCCAGAACCAGCTCACCTTTTCCAAGGTCCCAGCACTGGCAAGATACCCCCACCTTGCAAGAGTTCTGCATCCAGACTCCATGAGGTCTTTTCCGCTGAGATTCGGAGACAACGCTACCAGTTGGGCAGTGCCCCCATATCAGACATGTAAATCTTTGCTCCAAGCCCATCTTCTGAGCTTTTAGGATCTGTTAACTCCAAGCTCCTCCCTAGATCCTTAGACTAGTTGTGGACTAAGCATCAGCATCACTTGGGAAATTCAAATCCTCAGAATCTACTTCAGAACTCCTGACTCCCTGGCAGGCAGAGCTTAACACCTTGTGCTTGAGCGACTCCCCAGGGCATTTTGATGAAACTCCAGTTTGAGCCACAGCCCTAGGCCCCAGCTCCAGGGAATGGTGTGCTAATCCCTGAAGTTATCATTCCTGTGGAACCTCTATTTCCCCCTTCTGACTCTCTCTGTCCTTCAGACCCATTTAATCACTAAATACTTAGTGCATCTTCTATCTGACTAATGCAAGGAACAATTTAGTTCTTCATAACATAGGGTAAAAACTGAATTTAGTCAAAATTACCAGTGAAAAATCCCTAACTTTCCCAGGAGCACAGCATAGAGGTCTTCCATGCCTCAGCAAGTCTCCATATTCAGCACCAAAATTGACAGGTGCTGCCTCTTTGGAGATCATATTAAGTAGCTGGCTTGGCTTTAGGGACTATATTATTTGAAAACTAGGTATTATTTTTAAGCTTCTAATAATATTCAACACAGTATGATGCTTGTGCTATGAAGACACATGAAAGCTGAGAACTTTACTGGATTAGAAGAAGACCTGTATAAATCTGGACAAATTTTCTCTCTGTCATTTATTTTTCTTACCAATCAAATAAGCAGACTGGACTAGAGCACTGACTTTTAAGAATTTAATTGTGGTAAAATATTTGTAGCATAAAACAAATCATCTCAACCATTTGTCACAGGGGTTAAGTACATTCATCACCCGTCTCCATGAACTTTTCATTTTGCAAACTGCAACTTTGTGCCCATTGAAGAATAACTCTATTGTTCCTTTTACCCCTGGCAACTGCAGTTTGTTCATGCCTTCATCCAACGTGGATGCTCAAGACACTTCCATCTTTTGGCTACTGTGAGTAGTGCTGTTGCGGACAGGGTGCACACAGCACCGATTTTGAAACTGTAATCACTTTATAATAATGTAAGAATGACAACAGTAACAGTATCCAGCCTCTATTGGGCACCAGGTGTCATTGGCATTGTTCTAAATCTTTACATATAATAACTGAGTTCATACTCCAGTAGCCTCAAGAGTTAGTTTTCTAGGGGAGAAAACTGAAGCCCAGATAGTTTAATTATCCTGCTCGAGGTTATGCAGTTCTTGTATGGTAGAACTGGTAAGAGAATCCCAGCAGTCTGGCTTTAGAGTGAAGTTCTTAACCACACCATGGTCTGCCTTTGGGGACCACCAAGCCTCTGCAGGAACTGTTTTAGGGATGGCCCCAAGGCGTCCCTCTACCTCTATGGGAGCCATCCTATGTGTACCTATTTTAAACACTGAGCTTTGCAGTTTTCTTTTACATACTGATTTCTGAAGCTACAAACACATGAGAAAAATATATATCACTGACTCAGATGGCAGAGCTCCTCCTAGTCAAATATTCTGTGAGTCTTAATTTCATTTTAGTTTTTAAAAAAAACCACAGCACACCCTGGGCAAAGCAGGCCCGTAACCTGGTAACCATGTTTGTTGAGAGGAAATACCTGAGCAGAGGGTTCAGCGCACTCCAACGATTCTGACTCAAAGGTCTGTTTCTGAAGCGTCTTGTGAAAATCTTTTCGAGATCCAGTCTTTTTAAAGCCACAAATCTCGGAACTTCCTTGGTTTCTTTCATCATTGATATTATATAATTCAGAGAATGAGCGGGAGGAAGAGAGAGGGAGGGAGAAGCAAAGTCATTAGATTAAAAATAAAAGTAATGGCCTCAGTGTAGACTTGGTGCTGAAAGAGCTTTCAAAGAGAGGACCAGTGGTAATTCCTCACATCTAATTAAGCACCAGGCCTAACACAAGGCTCTGTTGTAAGGAGATACAAGCCTGCCTCCTGGCTGGCTCATTATTAAAGGCAGGAATGGCCTGGGAAAATGCCACTGCAGAGGTGCGGTCATTTCAGCTGCGGATACTTGGGCCTAAGCTGAGGCTAAACTATGACCTTAGTGTAAGAGGCTAGAATAAAGCTAGCAATGTGCAGAAGCAGCAAAAAAAGATCATTTGAAGATAAAAATAGAGAAAACTATTTCATCTCCACATCAGTGTTTCCAATAATAATGAATTAAAAAAGGCAGGACATGGTTGAGAAAAAGATGAAAATGTTTTGTCTACCAAAATCCGTTGCTAACATTCTCAGTCTCCACTGTATGGATTCTATTAAAATTGTGTTTTAAAAATCTGTAGCTATGGAAAGAGTTTTAAATAGAATGCTTAGCACTGTCACTAGAGCAATGAGACCATCATGAGAAAGGGAACAGATATAAGTCGTCAAGTCATAACTACAGAAACCAACGTGTGTATTCCCCATTTTTGTGATGCAAGGCACTTTTAGAAAATATGCTGCAAAATGCACAGACATGCCTCATGGTTTATGCACTGTTAGAAAAACTACTGAGCAAGTTGGTAAAGGGACACGCAATGAGGTTAGAGTGTAAGGGAGATCAAGTGGCAGACATACAGAACAGAAAATGTAGGAAAGCTGTAAGTAATGACTCAAATACGGAGTTTATAACGCTTTGGGAGGGAGGAGTATTGGGGGAAAGAGTGGCACGCACTTTGCAGATATGAATACATTTTAGTTCACTGAATTAACTAGACAAAGGATGAGACATTCTAGTGTCGTCTATAGGAAAAGTAGGACTCTTCCTGGATTTCATTGCGCACTGAAGGAAAGTGAATTGTTTTAAGCAAAAGGAGCCAAAAATAGTCTAAAAAAGATGCAAGATCAACTTGGTGACTAAATCAAGTCAGGCTAATTAACTGTCCATCTTCAGTCTCCCGGTAGCTTGAACTGTTCTGACCCAATCTATACTGAGACAGCTGGGTAAGCAACAGGCCAAATTAGGGAATTGAAAGAAAAATAAGCAAATGGATATGGTATAGTCTAAGTAATTAAAAAATAGATCTAAACATTCAGAAGACATTTCAAGAAAAATATCCAAAATAACTTCTGACTTGAGATTCCTAAACAGGAGCAAAACAAGCCAAAATTAAAACAGAAATCATATTATTCAAAAACATTGACTGAAAAGTATTTTAAAGACTCATTCAAATACTTCCTTGCAAGTAAACACTAAAATGTTTATTTAAATTATTTTTAAAAATTTTATTAGTACATGTTTGCAGCACATAGGGATTCTATTCATTGTGGGGAGCTAGAAATACACACAACACGTCGTAATTCTTTTTATTTTCCCTGCCTCTCCTTTTCCTTCCCCTTCCCCCATTATTCTGGTTCCAGGTGCTCTAAGTGTGCAAATGGCAGCAGTCACCATGGTAGTGAAAGGAAGTATGATAGATGTACATGTGACTTATTCTCGAAGATTTATTTCCTCTTAGCAAAATTCTTTGAAAGAAAGCCTGGACATGGCATTTCATAAATTGGCTAGCTTCTTAAAAGTTACTCTTATTCACATCTATATATATATATTTTGTACCAGAGATCGAACTCAGGACCTTGTGCTTACAAGGCAGGTGGTGGAACCACTGAGCTAAATCCCTGGCCCATTCACACATATTTAGACAGCAACATGTATGAATGCATGCTGGTAGGCTACTTTTGTAGGGCATAAAAGAACTACATGTGGGCTGACAGAAAAAAGAGCTCACAGAAAAAAGCTATGTGGGAGAGAAAAATAAGCCCCAAATATTAGCAAATACAGACAAATAAGAAGGGGTGCCCTGCAATTATACTACCCTGAATAATAATACACTGAATCAGTGATTTTTTTTCTGAATAATCCAATTTTAAGGGGAAAAATTAGTCAATTAATATTAGTTTGTTCTGAGGGCAAAAGTAAATAGTGAATTAAAATTCAAATTTCCCACTTTGGTGTTTGCCCTTTCTCTTTTTTAGGATTATCCACTCCAAAGGGGACTAATGTCAATTGTTCAATACCACAGACCCTTCTTTAAAAGGAAATCAGAACTGGATTTGCTTTAGCCTTTTGTTTTCTGTCTCATAAAATGTACCTATTTCCAAGGGTGTTTACCCATAGACAACCCCTACACACACACACACACACACACACACACACACACACACACACACAATTATGAATGTGTGTTGGGCACTGTGTCACACCTGTAATCCCAGCACTCTTAAGAGGCTGAAGCAGGATCACAGCCTGGGCAACTAAGCAAGCCTGTCTCAAAAATAAAACAAAATGTAACAAAAAGGCTGGCTATGTAGCGCAGTACCACAAAAGAAAAAAAAAAAAAAAAAAAAAAAAAAAAA